CCTGTTTCGTCTTGTTATTTATTCTTATCCCTTCTATTTTGCTTCACATTTGTATGTTGCACTTAAATCCTATAGAATTATCTATGATAACATTTTAATGAGTTTCCAAACTTTCCCAAGAAATATAGAGTAAAATCAGACAGCCCTATGTTTGAATTTCACTTTCATGGAAGCAATGTTCCCTTAACCTCACCTTCTGTGTCTTTATCCGCAAAGTGTTGATATTCCCTATAATATCTAGTTGCAGAGTACAAAGCATGTGAAAAGGTCAGTATACTCCCTAATAATATAGCACGTACCTGGTGGGCATTGTCTGTTTTTATTGTTAATATATTTTATGTTCTGGAGATGTTTTATGGGTCAGGTAAAAATATCCAATATTTGTTGTTAGCCTGTTCTATAGGGGTGAGATGAATAGGTTTAATTAGTGCTTGTTATTTTACTGGTTAATTAACCAGTAGTAATTATCTTAAATGCAGATTGGCAAGTCATGGATGTACAGTATTTGTGTATGTATACTCACACGTATATATCACAGAGACAGACAGATTGGTCAATTGAATGATAGACAGACATTATAAAAATAGGTAGGTAAATAAATAGAAATGGGAGAAGACAAGAGGAGGGATCTGGAACACTTTTGTGAGGACAGCTGTGTTTAGCCTGTGCTGAATTATGAAGTTGTAGAAGTTAGCCAGGTTTTGCCGGGAGGAAATCAAAGTTGTAATAAGCAGCGTTTAGGAGAACTGCATGTCAGTTCACTAACATTAAGCTGGGATGTGCGGTGAGGAAGGAGTTCCTGGTAGACACAAAGCATGTCCAAAAGATAAACAGGGAACAGACCAGCTAAAGCCTAATAAATAAACCCTGGTAAGGAGTTTGTCTTTCATCCTGAGGGCTCCGGGGAGCCACTAAAGTTTCCTTTTTAAAGTGGGAGAGTGACAGATAAGTCACACCCATTAAAGACAGATTCTCTACTTTTGCAGACAACGATGGCTGAGAACCAACTATAGGAAGCTGTGTTAGAAATCGAATGCTGGTAGCCTGGCCCAAGTGAACTTTCTCTTGAGTGCCTGAGTCCTACCCGAGGCAGGTGAAGCAGCCCTGCATACTTGATTCCAGCAGTGAAAAATTAAGATGGCCTAAGCCTGATTCTCCAGTATATACACCTCACCTTGAAGCAAGTGAGATCCTTTTGGAAGTTGCATTAAGTCTCTGAGGCCACTGGGGTGCTATTAAACTCCAGCTTTAGCTCACTAAATGGAATGGAATCTCAGCCCGCAGTCAGCCAGTAAATGAGTATAACTTATGTTGAATTCCAGCTAATGTACAGTCTTAGAAGTAGCATTAAGTCTGGAAAGTCACTTGGGTACAATTTGGAGCACTGAACTGTGATTTACTTGGTCATACCCTGGTGGCCTGTGAGTGCCAGTATAGCTTCCATGGTCTTTTCTACTTTGTTCCAGGGAATAACTTATGGAATGAAAACATCCATTTTTAAATACATTTTCTATATCTTATTCATTTTTTGGTGGATAAGGATTATTGAGGTCAGTATTTATTGCTCAGAAATCTGTCATTTAAATGAAACTAGCAAGTTATAAACCAAAATGTATAGTTTAAATAAAAGTAACGGGTCATAACCAAAGTAATTTTTCCTATCAAATATATATAATGGCTAAAGTTTTTAAAAAGTACACTCTTATCCAAAAGAAATTTAGATTTCATTTCACAAAGGATTTTAAAATGCTTATCATCTATAAATTTGCTTCACATATACTGTTGTTATTAATTAATTGTTCTCTGATAAACAAATACATAAGGAATGAGTCATATGCTCTTGAGGTCCAACGTTTATAAAACACAATAAGGCTGATATCATCCTGATAATTCCTGTGAGATCCCAGACTGTGCTCAGTCATTCTTTCATTCCTATGTAATTAGCACTACGAGTCTGGCATTTACGTTTAATAAATATGTGATCGTCACATGCAAATGAGCAGTATTGTAGAAGCCCATGCTTGAAGCCCTGACATCTGTGGTGGAGTGTTAGTAGGGTAGGACCTCTTAGCTGAGGTAGGTGTTCTAGGAATTGTGAACAACGGACAGAAACGTACAAATGAAGAAACCTCAAATATGGGTCTGCGTGATAACTAAATTTGAAACTCTCTTAGGAAAGATTTTCCCTTCTTAATAAAAATAACAACGTTTTGGATTGGGTTTTCAAAGTTCATAGATGCTTGAGAAGTAAGAAGGAAAAGAATTTTAGATATGCAAAGATATTAAGTCATTTCTATCTAATGTGGGAAAGTAAAAAGAGGGAAAAGATACTTAACCAGAGGAGGGTTTTAGGAGTTTCTGCTGTTTGAAATAAAGCCCGGTGTTTGTGTGACTCACAGTATTCCTTATGTTTTCGTTGTTTGGCAGTACGTACTGGGAATTGAACCCAGAACTTTAACACTAAACTAAATCCCCAACCCTTTATTTTTTAATTTGAAATAGAATCTGCTCCGGCTGAGCTCATACTTGTGATCCTCTTGCCTCAGCCTCCCATAGTGCTGACCGTTATGCTTTCTGAAACATTATCACAACTGATGTTTAAGAATTCTACCAAGTAGAATTTTTGAAGATATGGAAATTGTGTGTTAGAGTGACAAGGCAACTTGTCCAGGGTCCAAACAATTCATAACTGATGAAGCAAAGACTCTATGCTTTCTGACTCTTAAATCAGTAATTAAATGTTCAGTAGCAGGCAGATAATTGGCATATACCAACTACCATGTTTTATATGTGAAGCCATCTGTGAATAACAAGTTCATATTGACGACTTCCTCTAGGTTTTACCAGTGCATTTATTGCCTGTCCCACTCATCTGTAATAAAATTTTAATTTAAAAAACTGGCTTTTATTTCTCAAGCATCACAGAGGTTCTAAGGTAGGAAATTTAGAAACGTACACTTGCTTAGTGAATATGAAGTGAGAAGAGATTGAATACTTCAGAGAGAACCTGTGAGCGTTTGGTGCTGCAATGGGATGAACAAAAATACTTTTTGTTGTTTTTCTTTTCACAGAAGATTCTGAAAAAAGTTTTTCCATGTCATTAAGCAACAGTAATAGTTTCCTGGTACTCCATTTTCTGAATAGCACTTGCTGCAGACTTGGGGCTGCAATCTGGATATAACTCATAGAAACAGCACTGATGATCATCTTTGCTAACTCTCTCTTTGAATGAATTCATAATTCTTTTTCTTAGAGTAAATTCCTGATGGCAAAATTCCTGGGTTCAGTGGTAGACAAAATTTCTCAGTCATTAGCTAAACAGTCTAACAGAAGTCTCATGCCTATTTAGATTCTCATTTTGCAGTTTTATAAATAGATTTTCTTTTTAATATTTATTAAGTTTATTGGTACAATTTAGATATATGTAACAGTGAATTAAGATATATATAACAGTTTTGTCCTCATCAGAGGGAACTTGTACCTGTACGTGGTATGTCTTAGTTCCTCTGTCATTTTTCTCCCGTTCTCCTCCCCGCTGCTCCCTGCAACCCCTCTTTTCCTCCTGATTTACAAAGCTTGTTTCCATTTTATCCTTTTTTTCTCATGTTTTTCTTTTCCCTTCCTTTTCCACCCCTTCCCCTTTCTTTCTAAACAATTGCTTCCTATTTCACAATATCTGTTATATATTTTGTTTCTTATGTACACTTTCAGTTTCTCACACCAGAGAAATAATGCAATATTTACACATGTGTGTCCAATTTATTTCACTTCAGAGTATGATCTCAAAGTGCATCCATTTAGCTAGAAATGTCTCCTTTTTATCCTTCTAAGGCTGAGTAATTCTCCATTGTATTAGAAAAGAACCACATCTTTTTTATCCATTCCTTGATGAACAGGCATAAATAGCTTTTCTTCTTGACAAATTATGAACCACTGATATGATACGTTTAAAAAATCTCTCCCAATAGGATCATCAAAAATAGGATATTTTTGTTTTGTACAGCTTGACAGCAAGACAGTAGATAATGTGGAGGAGCAGAATGAGATCTGCTCTTATGTTTCATTCTGCACAGTGTCTACTGTTTATTGGTTGAATAAGGGCATGCAACAAGAAGTATGCTCTTTGGATGGTAACACGTAATAGATGGAACACTGACCGTTTTCCCCTTTGGTCTTTGTTGTAACAAATTCTTTGAGTGTGCCATTTGGTCTTCTGTGAGAAGAAATAATGAAATAGCTTTCCCAGTGGGCCATTATAATGACCATGTAAATAATGACACCTTAAATCGTTGTAAATTCTTGGAAGTAGCGTTACAGTATTTGAGCTAACAGGAACCTTAAAGATCCCTTCATTTCACACTATGTATATTTCTTTTTTTCTGTACATTTTTTGTATCTGCTTAGTCATTTGTGTATCATTCTTGGAACTATATCTGTTCAAGTCGTGTGCTCATTCTTAAAACTGGATTGATTTGGCTTCTGTTGTTGTAGCAGAGGCGTTGTTTATATATTCTGGAGTATTCTTTTTCTAATTCTTGTTTTTATTAGTACGTGTTTGTACTATGTAATGATCACACCCCTTTGAGGAGTGCGCATAACACATCTGAACTGTTTTTTTAATCTCTTTCCCCTCCCCTCTGTTCCCATCCCTCCACCAAGGCATATTTCATATATAGAGCAGAGAAATCTTAGTACACTTTAGAAATTGAAATGGAAAACTCAGTGTCTAATTTTTTTGCACAGCTGTCTGATTTTTTCCTCAGTTTACATGAATTAATCTTGTACTCAGAAATTTAAACTTTTTTACTTTTTAATCCTTCATCCTATGGTGAAATTGGAATGGTTGACCATTTTGAGGAAATAGAATGTTATTCATGGCAAAAGATTGTAGTGTTGAAGATAAACCAGACTCCAAGTATGCCTTGCCTAAATGATATTTTCTGGTAGTCACATTATTCTGTGTAGCTTGGTGAGCTATATTTCTTTTCATTTTGTTTTAGGTAGCAGTTTTACGACATCGTCAGGATTATATACAGGAAATAATTCACTCACAAATTCCTCTGGATTTAACAGTTCACAGCAGGTAATTTTAAAAGCCAATTTAACTTCTGAAATATTTTTAAATAAAGCATGATTTTATTACATGAAGAAAGATCTGCTTATATATTAAACTATAACGAGATCTCTCCTAAGCTTTTCAAAAGTTGTTTTATTTCCTTTAAAAAATATCTGTTGCGGTCTTTTATGGAAAGTTGTTTAGTTTTGGGGTGAGTTTAATTTTACTTGTACTGTATCCTAGAATAGAATACATGTGAGAAATGCATATCATCTTACATAAAATTTGTTCGCAGTCTGAGCTTTTCAGTAAATGTGTCCTTGCTTGTATAAATGCAGAGAAGAAACAGAAACACAAACATTTGTGATTGTACTTTGAAATAGAAATAAAAAAGCAAACATATTTTGACAAATTATTCTTGTGTGGTTTCACCTGGTAGGATTATCCATCTTATCCCAGTTTTGGCCAGGGTCAGTATACGCAGTATTATAACAGCTCCCCATACCCAGCACATTACATGACCAGCAGCAACGCCAGCCCAACGACTCCATCCACCAATGCCACTTACCAGCTGCAGGAGCCACCATCTGGCATCACAAGCCAAGCAGTTACTGACCCCACAGCAGGTAAGTTTGTGGGTTTTATTAGTCCTACAGGCTGTATATTTCTGGTGGTATAAATGCATTTTCCTACAATCATATATTCATGCAGTGGTTGCACATTTTTGGCAAGTTTTGGCAAAAACTAAACATAAATTAAGCAGCATGGTCATGAAATTTGCTTTATTTCTGTCTGATTTTTAATATAAAGTATATAAGCCTGGAAAGCACATGAAATAGAGATTTTATTTGTAAATATTCTGAACTGTCAAGATATATGTATATATGTACAAGTAATTTTTTAGAAATGTAATTTGAACTCTTTTGCCATAACTGTAAGTAATTTGTTCATACCATCTTTCGACTGTAAAAATAAATGGCACTATGTAGAGTTTAATATTCATCATTAAATATTTAATGTCTTTCATCAAAGTAATACATTTGCTGAAGGTTCAAACAGTCAGTTAGCATCAAAGGATTGATTATGGAAGCCACCAAGCCCTGCCACGCCCACTCCTACTCCTGCTGTCCTGTGAATTTCATCCTCATGTATCTGAGTGGAAATGTCCTTCAGACTTCCCCACGGCCCTTGAGGGCCTTCCAAATGCCGGCTTCTCCATCTCTGGGCATTTTCCTATTTTATGTCTTCCACATTCTGTCATCCTCTCTCTCTCTTTCTCTCTCTCTCTCTGTAACTCTTCAAGTTGTGTGCTTAGTTTCCTGAATTGATCTTCACTTACATTTCTTTTATCTTCTCTCACACCTCTCACCTCCTTGCCTTTTCTTTTAAAAATGTAGCCATTGCTTTCTTAGGTTATCTGATCAGCTGTGAACCTCAGGAAGTCTGCTTTCTTCCTCTTGCCTATTTGGAGAGCTAGCCTACCTGATTAATAATACAGGGCTAGTTCTAGGTGCTTTGCATAAATCATAAAAAATGTTTTATCTGACTGATGCTACCTTAAATGTTGACTGTAGGGGTAGTTTGTGAGTATTAACAGATACCCCCCATCCTTTAAGTTTCTGTATTCTACCCTTTCTCCTTTGTAAAAACAATACATGCAGTCACTTCTATTCTGAAAAAGGAAATTACATCATTCTTAAATTTGCCCTCTAATTCCAAAGGATTACTATTTTTGCTGCACATTTCAGCTTTAAATATTTTCATCTTTGATCATTGTGTTCCATTTATCTCTATTTCCAAAAAACAAACTCAATAATCTATTCTTCATTCAGTTCCCATGAATAAATGCAGCATCCATGTAACTGAGTATATGCATTTCTTTTCTGTCTTTTAATAAAATTTCACTTCTGTTAATCACACTAAAGATAAAGCTTTTTAATAGAATATATGGAACTTACTGTACAAGTTTTATAGAATTTTTCTCTCTACTTCCATAAACTTCATATATGTATCAAAAGGAAAAACTATGGCTTTTCCCGGCTTTGGGGAGAACTCTTGTTTTCATACAAACCATCTGTGCCTTGAAAGGTTCTTGAGGACTAAAAGGCAGTTTGAAAAGAGGGTAACTGTAATGAGAGATAGAAAATTGTTTTTGGGACTGTGGAATAATGGAATGAAAAAGTGAGAAAGCAAAGAGTTGTACTCAATTCATGATATTTTGTTGTGCAGGGTACAGTGTTAAGACTTAATCCTGTTGCTTAAATGAAGGTTGATTAGAGTTTTGCCATTGGGTCACATCGTGAGAGTTTGTCTCTGAAACGTGACGCTGTCTTAGATGTATTTGATTTATTGGAGGAATGCCATATGAAAGAATGGGATGGCTGGGTATAAGCCCTGCTACATGGGAAACAATTCAAAATCACAAATTTTAAAATGTAGGTATGATTTTTTTTTGCCAAAATGAAAGGTGTATTTTAGCTTTTGAATGAAAAATATGCTCAGTGGCTTAGGTACTTACTTCTTTGAACCAGAGAAAATATATTTTTCAGATTTCTTATATTTACTACTTTTTACTGAAATGAAGGTTTATGAATCAGTTTTTCTTGTGTTCTGCAGTCAGAAGTGGAAAGTTCACCGAGATTCCACATTGAGAAAATATATGGATTGCTTTAAAATTTCAAAGATTTGGTCTGGGTTTTGTTTTGGTTTTGACATTTATAACAAGACTATGGATTTAGCCAAAATTTTCTGGCTTTAACTCACTTTTCTTACTAGTTACATATAAAATTATAGGTTTGTTCTTCTTAATGAAAAAGACATTTGGATGGTAAAGTACATACATTCATAAAGTGAAAGAACTAGATGGAATGATTTAATAAATATAATGGTTTCTGTTTTGAGATAGAAATAGAAAGTAGTTAAAATAATGAATGTCTATTTTTCTTGAAATGCTTTCAAGTGTTTTTTTATTTAGTAGTCTATTGGGTTTATAGTCAGTGTTTTATACTATTGTAAAGTTAGACTCTAGTCATTTTCTGACCTTATATATGGCCAGGCTTTGGGTTTTTCACTTCATGATATTATGCAGCTAGGAAAAATCTATACATCCATGTGCTCCTCCTCTTGTCCTTCATGACGTCTACTCTCGCATTGTTCATAGAATTGTTATGCTGAGAACACACAGAGATAATCTTGTAAGGTGTTTTCAAGGTAAACATATAAGGGCCAAATTGGTTTTTACTGTGTATTTTTAAAGCTATTAAAGAATGAGTATCTTTTAAGCCCATGATAATATGCAGTATTACTCATGAGCGTGTATTTCCTCAATATTAAGATAAAAATTGTGTAATTAACATACACTTCTTAGAAGAAGTGCAAATGACCAATAAATACATGAAGAAGTGTTTGGTATCACTGGTCATTAGAGAGATGCAAATTGAAACAACACTGAGATTCCATCATACTCCAGAAAAAATGGTTTTCATCAAGAAACCAAATAATATCAAACGCTGGTGAGGTTGTGGGGAAAAAGGAAACTGTCTTCATTATTGCTGGAAATGTAAACTAGTACAACCAATATGTAAATAAGTATGTAGATTCCTCAAAAAACTGAAAATAGAAATCCCACTTAACCTAGCTATTCCCCTTGTAGGTGTCTTTCCAAAAGAGCTAAGGATATCATATTACAGTAATACATGCATATCTATACACATGGCAGAACAATTCATAATAGTAAATCTTGGAAGTAGCCTGTGTGTTCATCAGTAGACAAATGGGTAAAGAAAATGTGGTATTTACATGTAATGGAGTACTACTCTGTGATAAAGAAGGATGCTTGGGTCATTTGTAGGAAAATGGATTTACCCTGAGACCATGATGTTAAGGGGAATAAATCAGAACATGCAAGATTAAATATCACATAGTTAATATGAGAAATCCAAAATATAAATAAAGAGAAAAATAAAAGATAGTTAATAGGATATAGGGAAATAAATTCATTCTCAAATGGGAAGGGAATCAAGACTGAGGGAGGGAGCCGGGGAGGAGGAAAGGGGGTGCACAGAGAGTTGAGAGGTGTTATGTCCACGTCCGTGCTCCCCATAAGGAATGCAACCATTACTTGCTGCAAACATGTGCTAATAAAAACTAAAAACTGAAAAAGTTGTGTTCACAATTAAGTATGGAAAGCTGTGTGCTCCTTCTAAATTGACATGATTATTTCATTAAAATATATACCTTGCACATAAAAATTTCATCTCAAAATTTTAATCTATTTTAAAAATTAAAAACAGTCCCTTTATATCCATTTCATACCATGAGTTTGTAAACTATACAATGATATCTTAATAAAACAAAACTTACATTTTTTGGAGGTACAGAAGACTATATACTTCAAGAAATATAGTAAGATATTATCTGCCTACTGAGCAAGATTTCAATTTAATTATTTATTTGATTTAAAAAGTCCTATTTACTCTTCAACTAGAAATGCTAGTGTCTCCCAGTCCCCAGTTAAAGGGTACCTTGGTTGCTCTCACTTTGCAGAAGTTGTGAACAAAGTTGCTATAAACTTCGGGTGCAGGTTTTTGTGTATATGTAAGTTTTCAACCTATTTGGGTAAATACCAAGGAATGTGAACTGGATTATATGGTAAACTATGCTTAGCTTTGGAAAACTACTCCAAAGTGAGTGCACCAATTTGCATTCTCTCCAGCAGTGAATGAGCTCTTACTGCTCCACATCCTAATCAGCTTTTATTGTTGCCAGTATTTTGGATTTGGTCCTTCTAATAGCTCTGCGGTGGTGTCGTGTTTTAGTTTGCAATTCATTAGTGATACGTGATAGGGAACATCTTTTCATGTGCTAATATATCATCTGTAAGTCTTCTATTCTGAGGAGTCCGTTCAGATGTTTTGCCTACATTTTGATTAGGTTGTTTGCTTATTGTTGACTTTTAAGAATTCTTTATATATTTTGAATATGTCATTTGTCATATAATGTGTTTTGTAAATATGTTTTTGTCAATCTGCATTTTGTCTTTTCCTTCTTTTAACAGTGTCTTTCACAAAGCAACTTTTCATTTTAATGAATCCTAACTTGTCAAAATTTTTCATGAATCACACTTTGATGTTGAATCTAAAAATGTGTTGCCTAACCAAAGGTCATCTAGATTATACCCTGTGTTATCATCTAAACACTTCAGAGTTTTGTATTTTACATTTAGGTCTCTGATGTATTTTGAAGTAATTTTTATATATAAATTCAGGGTATAGATTTTTTAAATGTGGACGTCCAGTACAGTTCCAACATCATTTATAGAAAGATTCTACTTTTTATTTCATTTACTCCTTTGTCAAAAATCAGTTAACTATATGCAGTTCTATTTATGGACTTGTCATTATTTTCTGCTACCTATTCATTCTTTCACTAATATCCTAATGTTTTACCATGACATGTGAATGTAAAATACAGTGAATATTTAAATTTTTAAAATGTATTACAGTAAAAGTACATTTCCCTCAAAATACTTCCCTCCACTTTAAACACAGTTATCCCTTCACCCTTGCCACGTTATGAAGCAGCTCTGGAAGTCCTCTTTCATGAGTATCTACAGTTGCACTGTTGT